AAGAGTCTTTCGGCAGAGAGAATTCCTAAAATTTTGGCTGATTCGGGTTCTAATGCTAGCTACTCGTGTCAAAACTTGATAAAAAATATTTTCTCCTAACCGTCTAAAAATCTAATATAAAACTACTCATGGTAGCTATGTTTGACTTTCTTTTTAAAAGAATCTATGTTAAACGGTTAGGAGAAAAGAATTTTGATCAAGTTCTGAAATGAGTAGCTAGCACTGAGTCGTATGCAGTTTTTCAGTGCAAAACTAAAAAGGTTGATTTGTGAAAAGTAGGAGAAAAGTGTCTTTTTCCATACATAATACTCGTTTTCCAGTTATTTCCACAAAATTAAAAGTTTTTTTTCTCTGCTAATATGAACTGATGAACACAAAAAACCATGCCTTTTAGCTGTCAACGCTCTTTTCAACCATACGTAAATTACTGCATTTGGTCGATGGAACAAAACTGAGGTAAAAATCAGTAGGAGACGCGCCTCATATACAATGCTTGTCGTAAAACGCGTGTAAAAGCATAAAAACCCATCGCAAAGAGTTCCCTGACGTCTCATTCTGTAGAAAATGTTTGCTCTACATCTGTAATGACCAGGATTCCCGATCAGGGGGCAGCTTAGGGATGGGAGGGGCTATAGCGGCCGTTCAAGCAATCCTTACTATTTTTTGTCTTGTATGCATTCTTAATTTAGTTAAAAATAAACTAGTCATAAGTTGCATAGAAACTCGAATTTAAAAAGACACATTATCTTCGTGCCCTTTTTAGAATATAAAAAATAGATAGTTTAGTTTTAGAATTTTCCTTTTGGTGTTCAGTTCTATCTATTTTAAATTCTAAATTCGTTTCTGGACTCTTATGTTCTTTTCTCTTGTCCAAACGTTGTCAACCAGTCTCCGCCAATCCACGTTACCACAAGCAATCCTCTACCAGTATTATTTTCTCATCGTCAACATCAATACTATTTACAAACAACGAACCATTGACTCATATTTCTACTTACAGCATTGTTCAACAAACAATTTGTTTTCTTTTTTTTGTATATAATAACAGTAATAATTCATAAGCATATGTTGTTGTCAGGAAAGAACTGGGCTGCTTTGTAGTGAAAGTTGAATTCGGAGCACAACTGAGCGCACTACAATTGGAGGTTCTACCCAGATATTTGGTGGAACATATATTTTGTATGACCAAAACTGAGAACAGCATCATCACCCAAGCAGACAAACATTTGGAAAACGCGTTTAAACGCTCAAAAGGGAACCGCGATTGTGAGCCAGTAACGCTCATTTAAAAAACGCAAGAAACGCGTTTTTTGAGCAAAATTTTCACTTTCAGACCGTGAAAACGGCGAAAACCCCCGTTGTTGAGCGTTAAAACGCGCTTTTATTCCAGAATTTAAAAACAATGAGTTTTAACGCTCAAAAACTGGAGTTTCGCCGTTTTCACGGTCTGAAAGTGAAAATTTTGCGCAAAAAACGCGTTTCTTGCGTTTTTTAAATGAGCGTTACTGGCTCACAATCGCGGTTCCAAATGTTTGTCTGCTTGGGCAACATCGGCCCATCATCACTATTATAATTGTTATTATCGTGGCTGTCATCATTATTGGTGTTGTTTTTATTATTATTATCATCTACATCATCGAAATCAAATATTGAACATCTCGGTAATATCTTGTGTTCGAATAATTCACAAATATTGAGGTAAGACCCACCCAAAACTGTTCTCAAGGTGTTGTAAATCCGTGTCTAATTTTGGTTTCGATAATAGTTTTTCGTTACGAGAATTTGATATGTCTAGAGAAATAATTTTGAATAAGGACAAAAAGATAGAGGTTCACTCGAGTACCTCTACAGATCGTGATCTTTCAGCATTAGAAGTTGACGAGCCGAGAGTGCATACAGAACATAATATTTCACCAAAATCAGTACCATCAGCCGCATCGGTAAGATCTAAGGCTGCATCTGTTTCCACGGGTGTAGTGGAAACAATGAGTGCATTAATGACAGAGACCATGAATCGCATGGAAAGAGCACAGAAAATTCAGGCAGAAGCCTTAGAGAGAGTCATGAAGAATGCACAAGAAATACAGGCAGATACACTACTACGAGTCTTCAGTCAGCAGAAAAATTCTGCACCTACACCGACACCAATGTGGAGAGATACAGCTTCAGCTGCCGCTAATTCACATACATCAGTTATTTCGTTGCCTGCTAATGTTTTTAATGCTTCAAATTCTGATGCTTCTTAATGTGCAAGGTCATTACCACCAGATGGTGAGAACAAAATAGAAAAATTAGTGCCATTAGATGCATAGATTTCATGTCATCGACCCAAAAATTATCCACTATTTATTGCTAAAAGTGAGTCGAGTACACAGACTGAGATCTTGTCGTTGAATGCATCGGCTAAGATTTCTAAGGAAAAATCAGCTCGTCTGTCCAAGCTAAACGGAGAAGTTTCTACGTCTGCTCCGAAGCTAAAAATTCATTCTGCGCCTCGCCGTGAATTAAGTTCTAATAGTGAGAAAAAGAGTGCTAAATCAAAATCAAAGTTTAAATCAAAACTTGCGAATAGTCGCAAACAACAGATTTCGCTGGCACCATCATCGTCTTCTGACAATTCATACAATGATGATGATACAGAAAGTTCAGAAAGACTATGTCTTCAAAGCCAAGAAAGAAAGAACCAAAACAAATAAGACAGCATCTAATCAAAGACCAATTTTACAGTCTGATTCCGATAATAAGGAAGAGGATATTAATTTTAACGGGAGAGATATAACATCACAATCCCGAAAGAAGAAAAGAACAAAAAGAAAATCTTCTAGTTCTTCGTCTCGGTCAAGTACGACTGAACGAGCAGCAACTTTGTAAGTCACTGTGAATGACTCAATTAGCCATTTTAGTGGTAAGATAAATGAACAACCGAATAAATTTTTACATGAATATCAACAAACGATGAGAACCATTTTCCATGCTTCAAATTCACAATTACTTCGAAATATGTGTAATTGGCTGTCAGGTCTAGCTCGTGATTGGTATCCACAACTTTCACAATCACGTCAGTAGCCAAACAGCTGGTCTGAATTTAAAAAAATGTTTTTATCGCGTTTTCGTAGTCCCGAGCATGTTGAAGCTCTGAAATTTGAGCGTAGTCATTGTGTTCAAGGTGAAAATGAGACAGCCGCAGATTTTTATCAAAGATATTTAGGATTAAGTCTTAAGATTAGTCCGAAAATAAAAGAGAAAGTTTTGAAAAAACATCTCAGAAAATTGAGGCCTGAAATTCTTCTTTGGATGTAAATTCACGAGAATTATCTCGTTCAATAACTTGTCAACCATCAATAAGTATGAAAACACCGGAAACAACTGTTGTTGTCGCCAACCTTGAGTATTCTTCTTCATCATCTACGTTTTCAGA